GATTGCCTCGGAAACAGCGTCAGCATGAATGTTCCAGAAAAGCCAATCGACAGCTGGTCAAGAGGAATCCACTGTCGTCTTCTGGTGGAACCGACCTTCAAATATCCATTTTTTGTCCTGATTTCTGAAATCTGATCTTTATGACAACTACATTTTTTCTATAAATTCTCTGGGTAACCGTCGTTACTAAGGCAAATCCGAGTCAATTTGTCCAGCTACTCATCCCAGGACTAAGTTTCTGTTAGTCTTTAGCTTCTGGTGATCAAACTCATAAGTATTCCGATCTTCAGTCTATAGTTATAGTGAGACTGCAAATTAAGGATGATTCCCGCAGATGAATTCCTTCTGAATAATCTCTTCACCAGTGTCCTATTGCAGCACATGGCTTCACTATCCACAAAGCGTTGTCGTCATCCTCATCCGCCTCCAATTTAAAGTTAATTTGCTCATCAAGTTGGCTAATAAAATTAAGGAATTCATTAAAATTTTCCTTAAAATGCGACTAAAGTGCAAATTACTCATCCAAGTATCGCATACGCACTCTTGGTTGCAATGGTGACTTCCCGAGTCCTTTTTAAATTTGTCCATGTAAACATTCGTCTGGGTATGTACCATTTCCACGGTCCGACAGGAAAACATCATGCATACTATAGACTCCTGACAAGGTTTTTTTCTCTAGGTTTTCCTGCCAATTGACAAAGTTGAGAAAACAAGGTCAAATAACTACTAAACAGCGAAAGGAAACCGCTACCATACAAAAGGCAACGCTATCATGGTCTAGCTACTTTTGACCTTTCCCTTCAATGAAAAATTGCAAGGATTTTTAGAGACAAAGCAATACTCGATAGAGAATTTGTAAGGTTTATTTGTAAATAAAAAAATTTCCGGAAATAAAGTAATCTCTCAAATCTTATGGAAATAGGGAATCTGCTGAAATAGAAAATGATGGACTTAAAATAAGGTTGTTTAAGGTGTCGAAGAGGACTAGGAGAACAGAATTAAAGTGAAGATTTCCAGAGCAGTGAAAAATACGAATCATGAGTTAGTGTAAATAAACAAATATATCAACTAAAATGACAAAAACTCGTCAACAAAAAATCGTTGGGAAATGAGAGAAGATTGTCTTTTTTTCAGAAAGCTTAGAGTTAAATCGATTTTCTAACCTGCGCATCGTAATCGTTTTGATAATCAGCATTGCTTCACTAAGGTGAATAAGGCTGAGTTACTAATAAATATCGAAGACAACTAAGTCGTAACCATGGTCAATTGAGCAAGCACAGGTTTTAAATAAATTTAATAAGGCGCCTAGAAGTAAGCACTAACAACCGGAGCCGGCACCATGGCACATTAGTCGAGGCTACTTAACGGTCAGAATGAAGCACAAGGGCCAAATCGGCTTTCTGCGGCAGAGAATACCATTCATTTGGTAAGAAACTAGATAAATTTTGAACTTTTCCAAAATTCGAAAGGAGAAAGAGGCAAAACAAATACCACACAAACAGGAACGTTTAACTGGCACATAAAAAAAGTACGGAGCCCGTACTAATCGCTGGTCTACGGAGCTGTCGGAATAATTTCTGCTCAGTTTATTGAGGCTAGAGGAGAGTGCAAAGCGAAGAGAATGAAAAGATAAGTTAAAGAGCCTACTCCAAGTGAGGCTTCATGGCGCAGAAGAAGGCGTGGTAGCCAAGACAGTTATCGGCGGACCACAGAGCCAGATCGTTTAGCCCAGAAAGGAGACGACATAATAGAGCACCAGGCAGCGTAGTCTGACCGTCAGTTGTGAATGTGTGACTGCCGTCTTTATTCTCTTTAGGCAATTCACTATGCCCACAGTCTGATGGCAGAGGAGCATGGTTGCTGTAGTTGATTCCGGAGTTTTCCTGCGCAGCCAAAGCGTCATTTGCAGCAGCAATGCCTCGATCAGTAGCCTCGAGGTGAAGAGTGTCTGGGAAATCATAAACAGCATAATTTTATAATTGTAATTAATGTAATGAAAGGATTTTTTTATTTTGTCACTAGCAATGATATAAGAAGTTGATAATTAAGAACAAGCATAAATAGGAGACAAATAAAATTTTAGAGTACCACGGAACCACTGTAAAGTTAAACCTTCATTTAATACAATAAAAATCCGATGGAACTCGTTAAAAGACTATAAAACAGAAAAAGTGATAAGGATTAAATTTTTACACAAAGTATTTGTGCATTTCTCGTAAACAAGCTCAGCGAAAAATAAGAGGCAATTGAAAACAAACATTATCTGGACTTTCTAATTGATACAATCCACAGTAAATTAAGAGAGACAGTTTTAAAAGTATGCAGAAAAGCTGGGTTTTGAAGAATCCCGTAATAAGTCAACGTTGACGTAATTTTTATTTTGTTTGAAGAGACGAGTCGAAGGGATTCGTAAGTTGGTTTCACTGGAGGCTGTGAAGGGCGTTGCCTTGGAGATATGGTTTTAGATTTGTGCGAATAGGTCTTCGGTGCACTGCCCTGCGACCCTAATGAATCCTTGCTGAGCTTTTGATCAAGCATTTAGACAAAGCATTGGATATCCAACCCAAACAAGAGATGCCAAAGTGGACCGAATTGGACTACAAGAAGTAGGTCGGTTTGAAGCCAGCCACTTTTCTTGCCTTGGTGTTTTTGGTGGATTCTCGTTGAGCATGGTGACGATGTCCGTCACATGACGGACGAAAACTCCGCAAGAAATCGTCAGGGTTGCAGAGCAGTGCGCCGAGGACCGATTCGCACAAATCTACAATCACAGCGCCAAAGCAATCCCCCTACATCTTTTAATGGAACCAACCTGCAAATCCCTTCCAATCGCCCCTTAAAACGAAATGAGAGGTTCTTCGACATAAGTTTTAATGAGTCAATTTTGTATATTGACACACTTCGGGAATATAAACATGTAGGGGTGTAATGATAATCCGAGGATGTAAGATGAAAGGCTATTAATATTGTTGATATTGAGCAGATTGCGTAGTGTCAAGAAATATGAGAGAGGGAATTATGTAGGGATGGTAGAGCTGTCTTGAAGGGCAGCGGGCCAGCCTGGCAATGTTAACGAAGGTGATTGCACATCGAAGCAGGCTTAATGCTCGTATTTAATAGAAAAACCTATTCGGTCAGCGAGACAAAAAAGAGTTAGGATAAATTTGTAGGTTTCTCCTCAGTTTATCAAAAAATATGGAGTGATTAATGTAAATGACATTTAGGCTTGATACAACTGAGATTAGATTGAACACATTTTATTGTAAAGAGGCAGATAAGATAGATAGGATAATAACATTGTGAGCTTGACCACATTTTCGCAACTAGTCCTGCGTCCTGGGTCAAAAAATTCATGATAATTCCCAATTTCGAACTGTTGACTTAGTACATAGTCAGTGCGGGACACATTCTATCAAAGAAAAAGATAATGAGCCTAAAAATCACATGGAGACCCCATATTTGAGATGTATAATCGACAAACCCACCACAGAATGTTATATGAGAAAATGTCTGGCCTTGTTTGAAATGCATATCTACCCTGTGAACCAAGGGCTCTCGTGGTAACGTGGCAATGTAACCTACCCGCTGAGAGCGCTCATGAGATTAGTTCAGGCGAGGTGGGAATACCTTTTGGAAAGCAAAGCCATGTGAAATTCAATGGAAACTTAAGGTTTACTCATATTATAATGGAATAATTCAATTGACAGTTCCCTTATTATGAGTCTCGAAACTCTACTCACATACGAAAAATAAGTTCCCCTATTGCCTTAGGCGAAATCGTCCACAACTCTAATATATTCAAAGTCAATCATAAAAAGATCTTTTCAAGCCTGACAGATAAAATTTAACGAATGCAGTTGACAAGTTGGGGCTTATGCATTTGTCAATGATAGAAGAGACAAGCTGGTTGAAATTGGGTCAAGTGAATTGCCAAGTGAAGATACTAATTAAACTCAGGAAGATCGACAGAAAAGGTGGAAAACCGACGGTAAATAAGTACTACTCAGAGAGACTCAGAAAGCGAGTATAACAGAGCAAATTAGGGTACAAATTGGAATATAGGGGACGCCTGGCCACATAAAAGTGATGAGATAGATGATGATACAGTGCAATGAGATAGGAAATGTACCAGGATATAAATGATTGGGTATGGCAAAGCTGTTGAAAAGTAGAATGAACAAAGGAAATAAATTCTGCATGTCACTTGGATTAGCTAAAGTTCTGAGATTAAAATGATACCCCCTCCTCCTGATAATGCCGATCAAGAGCAATAGAATTTTGCTAAAGGATCCAATGACAGCAATAGCAGATTAAGTAGTATAGAGTACGTATTTTAAGGCTCCAAAAAGAAAAACTGTTGTAAAAACGACGCCAAGCTAGCCAAATACAGTGAAAGTTAACTAGGACTAATCTAAAAGCCAAACCATTACGGTATAATCACACATTATATACGCATACCTGTGGATATAACGGAGGAAAGAGTAGAGCTGCAGGTGACATTCATTTGTCCTATTGATGCCTGATTGTCGACAATTGCGGCAGCAGTATGCAACTCAGCGGTAGACAAGACAGGGATCAAAGCCGCTCTTGCCAGTGTCTGGATAAGGGTGTTGCCATCAAGAAGAAGAATAGATACCAGACAGGCCCAATCAAGACAGAAGAGCGAATCACTGTTGACCTGTTTGTTGCCGACCAAACACTTGCCGCCCGGGATCTCAGATCTGCCGATAGCAGTCACACTGCAATTAAAACCGGATATTTTGGCAATAGGACTTGCATGAGTCCAGCTGATTAGGGCTGCCTGCAGCAACTGGCTGAGAAGGAAGCGTAGCTGGCGTCGCTTATGCCGAGTCAAGATTCTACTCAATAAGTTGCCAGAATTACGAAGTGGAGTAGAGGAGGAAGGATCACATGATGGACTTGGATGGAGGAAAGCAGATGAGATAAACAGGGAAAGAAAAGAAAAAATTCGATACAATGCTCTTATATCGAAATAGTGAACATTTTTAGTAAATTACTGAATTCGCTGAAGAGACCTATTGGCCCAAAAGCGAAATTAAAATATATCCCAGTTAAAAATGGTCATGGCTTCTTTACAGATTTCTTTGAATAATATTTTATGATAAAGCAGTGTAAATATAGATAGAAGTGGATTTACCTCGTTTTTGCTAACTTGGTCTTGTTATCAGAAAGATTTAGTTGAACGCATCTTGTCCGAAGTTCTCTGACAGTAAGTATCATAATTCCAAGAGTCAGACCGTGGACTTAGTATATTTTCAGAATTTTCTCCGGCATCGTAGTCGACATCATCAGTGAGTCCTGTCATTCTCAGTACCAACTCAGCTACAACTCGTCAAAGAGAAAAGTGGAGTCAATCCATTGACCAAATTTCTGTCGAAACAGTTGTACTATCGTTCCTCCTTCAATCACGAATCATCTATCTACTCCTAACCCGCTTATCCCACTCCGCAATATCACAACTTCTAAACAGAGTGCGAATGTTTATATTAATAAGTTGGAAGAAAACTTCAAGATGTCACCGCTACAACCAGAAGTGTTCATGCGGTATCTGAAAGATTACTTCGCACTCTCGTCAAATTGAAGAGAAAACCTGCAAGATTTTCTGAAGTTTATAAACTAGATTGAAGAAAAAATCAAATTCACGATGGAAGTAGAGAATGGTGAGCGGTTATCTTACCTGGATATTGAAGTGATTCACTATAATGGGACGCTAAAGAAGAAATTGTTCAGAAAGAAATCATATACCGGGATTATATTTAGTTTCCAGTCCCATCACAACTGCAGACTAAAGATGGGAATGATGAGAAGCATGATCATCAGAAGCCTACGTTTAACGGATGTGGAATTCTGGGATGAAGAATTGGACAAATCGACTAGGATATTCCTCGACAACGATACCAAAGTGAAGTAATACAAAGAAATATACGGGCCGTGAAAAGCCGATTGAAGAACGAGGATTATGAAAGAACAATGAGGACAGAGAAGGATTAACAAAAGTGGATATGCCTAACTTCCTGCGAACTAACTCAAAAACTACGGCCAATACTAAAGAAATGAAATATTCAAGTGACCACCGAAGAAAAAACAACATTCTTTTCTAGTCTACCCACACGACATGAGAGGATGGACAAGTTGGATTGTTCGGGAGTTTACTGCATATCATGCGGCGCCTGCCGCAGGGAGACAGATAATCACAACCGTCACAGAAATACGACAGTATGACCAAAATGTAGTAAGCATTCACTCGAAATACAGCAGGCGACCAGGGATGGGCGTTCATAGTTGATCAGGTTACACGGGCTTAATCAAGGGGACGACCCTCGAAGGAAATGTCAAATGTCTGCAAGCATGGAAATCAGAGCCAACGAGCTCTGTTCGATGATGCGACAGTGTACGTGCTTCTAACGGCTTGAGAAATAGCGCCTGGTGTAAAACCTACATTGGGACCGGAACCGAATGAGAATGGTCAACTAGAAAGACAAGAAACGAATCCACGGGAGCATGATGGGGATCCGAAATTGGGGCCCGAGTTGGATTTGCAAATCGCAAGAGAGGAGATCAGGGCGAACAGTAAGCGTGATGAGGCCACAATAAACTTGCCAAAAAAGGGCGGGAGTGGGATAAGTGGGTAAGGAGTAGATAGATGGGCTGTGACAGAAAGAGGAATGATAGCACAACCGTTTAGACAGAAAGTTGATCAAGAAATTGATTGAACTTGTTTCTTTGACGAGTTGTAGCTTGGTGCTGAGAATGGCAAGACTCACTGATGTTGCCGGAGAAACCTCTGATAATGTACCAAGTTCACGGTATGATGCTGGAAATTATGAAAACTACTATGGCAGAGCACTTTGGACAATATGCGTTCTACTAAGTCTCCGTGAAAAAAAGACCAAGTTGCGAAAACGAGGTCGACGCAATTCTATACATCGAAAGGAGACTGATACCATACCGAGGGCCATACCATCTTGGTCCTCATATCTTCGATAAATATAGATCACTCACAGGAAGTTGGCTTCATCGACAAGTATTGCTGAAAGATGATTGGGTAATCAAAAGTGTACGATGATGTAAGACGCAAATAAAAGAGCTTAAGAAGAAGAAATAACGCAGAATGGAAAACAAATCTTGGATGGAATGCAAATATAAAAGATAAGGTAATTCGAATAAACTTTGGGTGATTTTTAGTATAATGAATAACAAGATATTGTGGACTTTTGTACGATCGTAGCTTGCTTTATCTGAATATATACTTAATTTAACATCGAATAAAATATAAGTATTCTGTTTAATTTTTTGTAAAGAATCAACCATTGGCGAATATACTTAGCACATGAGCGGAGGAATTGAGTTGTTGAATATCTCAAGCTGTGTCAGAAATGTAAAAATCTTAAGGGCTTTAGGTGATTAGGTCTGTATGAACTTTGACAATATTAAAAATCAAAGTTGCTAAAAATCAAATCAAAATTAAAATCAAAAGCGATTTAATTTTATGTCAATTTTTATTTATCAAAATAATATTTTAAAAAAGTATCCAAAGGTCATGTTACTCCGTATTATGAAATAGAAAAGGTATATGGCTAACCATTCAAGGGGATAAATCAGCATGAATGAAACCAATAGATTAGAGAACTAGTATACGAAAAATCCCATATTTGGCAATTATTTCATAAAAAAACGAATTGACGAGGAAATGAGAAGAGTATATAACGCACGCTGATAGTAAGACAAAGATTGATATAAATCTGTGCGCTGCATATCTAACACATATAGAAGAAAATATTTATTAATAAAAGTCAAAATCACGCCTCGGGTAGAAATGGAGACAATGAAAGCCATTAAATAACTATGCTTACATGAACAAAATGTATTTATGGGGCAAAGTTGTTGAATAAAAGAAGTAAAAAATATACTTTGGCAAATTTAATTGGAAGAAATTAAAGAATCAAGGAAATAAAAAAAAACAATATGTGGACATGAATTGTACACTTAAGTGCTACCCACCAATCCGATAATTTTTATCATTGAAAATACAAACAAGAGTTAAATTGATAATTGTCTGGAGAATGGGTAAACAAATAAGAAAAGAAATGTCAAAATAAAATAGCCAATGTTTCAAGAGGATAGATAATCAAATAAAGTATGGAACATCAGGAAGCATGGCCATGGTCTGCGTAGTTTGATGTCCTCAGCCCCGATTATTGGGAGGAGAAAGGACACCTGCGTTTCCGAATTAATTTAACTAATAGCTATTATTAAGTCCGATGACCCAAAACTCGTTTGCATTTGCTTTTATTTCCGGCCAAACAATAAAGTCTGGACATCTTTAATACCGAATATCTGGCCGTTTCTAACTACGCCTATTAAAGAAACAAAACTCCATCCACAAACCCTTGGCCAAGGAATATTCACTTAGTCTCGCTCCCTCTAAAAGATTTTACCGATTCACATTTACCTGTAGTCACAACTTTATGAGGCTCGATATTCGTATTGGAGAAGATACACAAAAATGATTTTTAATAGAGAAATAGAGGCAAGTCAGACAAGCATGCCGTGGACACAACCCGTACTTGGAAGGAGACCTAAAAATGCAAGGCATCCTTAAATTTTAATTATTTGCTTGCATTGGATTATTGGGGAAAATCATGTTTTGCAATTTCGAAATAGAAATTTAAAGCATGGTAATCTAAAGTAAAGGAGGCAATATTACTTTTAGGCAAAATGTCAAAGGGGGCTCTGATTAACGTCCGCTGAATCTACTGTTGACAGAGATTGAGGTAAAAAATAACAAACAAATTTTACATCAATTAATTGTGGATATAATTTTATAGAGTGTAAACACTAAGGCAAAAGCAGGCGAGAAGGCCAAGAATAATCAACTTTCAAGAGCTCGGTATATTTAAGGCATATTAAAATAATCGAATGAATGGTGCAAAAATGAATACAAATGACTGCAAACTATACTATACTCTTTTTGGTATGAAAAAGGGTTAAATAAAAAATCTCTAAGCTATTGGTCCATGCACGAAATCTTAAGACTCGAAACATAAAACTGAAACTCTAATGAAACCGATCCGAAATAAGGCAGCCATAATGAGCATAAATTAGAGAAGGCATACTTTGTATGCAAATCGACATTTTTGTGAGTCGAAATAAGCTGCTTTTCCATCGGAGTGGGTCCAAGCAGCGTCCGAACGCTTTTTCGATGTTCCTCAGTTTCTTGGAAGCATGGAGACTCCTCGGGATTACGTCGAGAGCTAGGCGGCGGAACACGAGGTTGAAAAAGAGGAGGTGAAATGCCGAAGTCGGCCTGAAGTTGAAGAAAGGCGGTCGGCCAATGGCTAAAGCGCAGGTCATTTGATCTAAGAAAGGCATATTTAAAAAAAGATGATACAGAGAATTGGTACAGAGTCAATCACCATATGCGTAATCTTTGCGATACAATGAATTCTAAAGCCGGCTGAACAGTCGGACGCTCTTTTAAAATATAGGCTTGGCACATGACTAGTAACTGATATTTATCCTAAAGCCAAGTAAGGCTATAGAATTCTTTAAAAATTTAATAAAATACAATGGTCTAATTTAAAGTATCAATGAGGCGTCATCCAATGAAGGGTCCTAAAGCACATGAAGTTTGAGTAAATTCTGTCAAATAATACTTCAGAGTGAAATAAATTGCCAATTACTGGATTGAATTTTCCTTCAAGAAAAATGACTAAAAACTCAGGAAGATGCTTGAGCCATCTGTAGCAAATTTGTGTTAGCTTGTAATTAAGTGATAGTAAACAACTAACAGTTTTTTGTGTATAAAAATTGTTTGACGGTGTTTCACAGCTATCAGGAGCCTGATTTTTGTCGAAATATGGCAATTTAAACTGATTGGACCAATAGCCACTTCACCCGTGACAACTTAGAGAGGATGTATGGTTTTCAAAAAAGTACCCTAATAGATGCAAAGCAAGGACTGCTTATAATTCAATAAATCCCCAAGGTATCCCTGACGCTCCGAACAAATTTCGAAAACAAGCTCGAACCAAATCTTAACATTTTTTTGTTTAGTGCGTAAAACAAGGGGTTAGAATCGTGTGGCTTCGGGGCTAAGGTGTGAGTCTATGGGGCCATACTTTCGCGGTTAGAATCCGATTTGAATATCGGTACATCTAAAAGACAAGGTCTAAACTCAGTCGAGTTAGAGAAAAATGGACTTAGTGATGCATAAAATGTGAAATTTTATAGAAATGCCAAGCCTCCTCTTCCATTTATCGTGAGAAGAGTGGTTATGAGTTTAATAGGTCAATCAAAATAGGTATAACTAGATGACAATTAGGTTCATGAAGGTTCCGAAACAAAAAGTGGTATTTACAAGACACAGTGATTTAATTGTGATGATGGAAGACAAAAGAGAAACAATATGCGATTTATTCACCCAATTCCGTTTAAGGTGATGATGGACTGGTAGAATAATTCTCAGCCGGGATGAGAACAACTTTTGGGAAAGCAAGGCAATGTGCAATTCAATGGAAACGTCGGCTCTACTCAAATCATTGTGGGAAAATTCTACTACCAGTCCTTCATCACCTTAAACGAAATTGAGTGAATATATCACATATTACTGACTTACTGGTAGCCTTGAATCCTGCTTATGAACGAAAAATAAGAGCTAAGTCATTCTAGGTTTCTTGAAGTGATTTGGAGAGAGAGAGATTCAAGTTATCCCAAAAGGCCTTCACATCTAGACTGGGATACAGTTTCTACTTTTCCTAGGTCCCAGCAGTACCACCAATAGGATTTGATACCGGCATGCGAATACCGCAACGACATTACAACTCCTATGCATAGGTAAATGTAGCTGACTGAAAACAGTGATTACGAAACATGGGTTAGCAGAAGACTTGTAGGCAGCCTAGCTAGCATAAGATAATGAAGGGCTTATAATTGAATAATCCCAAAATCACACGAATAGGCCTCTTAAATAGCTTGGATTTGAGTTCATTTATTTAATTCAATTATAAGTTCCCTTTTATCTCATGCGACTACTCACAGTATGAAAACCAACAAATTATAAATAAAATTTCGAAGAATATTCTTATGAAGTAAGAAGTAAGTGAAGCCTTATGTAAACTGAATTCGATTACTTGGATAATAACATGTAGTATGACGGTTTTTGTATTTTTCCTATTTGAGTGAGCAACATGTAATTTTAAAAACGAAATATATAGAACAAGTAGTTTGCATTCCAGTGGAGTTATGAGCATAAAAGATTTAAATTCATCGACGAAGTATGATTGAATCAGACGATAGGATTAGTGAAAGCGAATAAGAAAAGTGTACAAACTCATTCATTTTCATTTAAAGGTAGGTTTAGACGCTACTGGTGGATTATGTATAAGAGTTGCATTCACCTTATTTTGTGTAATAAAATAAAGGACTGGCCGTGGAATATTTTCATAATGATATTAGATCTCATATCTTTATTGAATTTCACAGAGTATTGCTTCCAAAAAGACAATTTAATAGATTGTAAATAGTAAATAAGACAGCAATCAGCAATCCCACTACGCTGTGCTACCACAACCCGGTTTGGAGTCCCGCTGGGTATATTAATAAGACCTATAAAGGGTACACAATTTCAGTCCACTCTGCATGAAAACACCTTTTGAGTAGGAATGCTGTGTGAAATTCGTTGAAATGTGAGGCCTATTCATGTCATTTAATTGACAATCTTTCATCACCTTTAACCGAACAGGGTGAAAGAAGATAATAGACAACTAACTATATCAGTTTCCATAAAA